CATGAGCCACCACACCTGGCCTCATGGTGGTGTTTTTTTTTTTAATTGAAGTTTTTATTGAGATAATTGTAGATTCACATACAATATAAGAAATAATACAGAGAAATTCTTTGTATATTTTGTCAGACTATCTTATATCACCATAGGGATATTGACATTAATAACAATCCACTGTTCGTATTCCCTAGTTTTCCTTATAATCATATGTGTGTATGTATTTAATTCTAGACAATTTTGTCACATGAATAGGTTCATGAATCCACCATCACAGTGAAGGTACTGAACAGTTCCATCACCACGAGGATCCCTCATATTACCCTTTTATAACCATTTTCTTCTAACCTCACCCCTCCCTTCCTAACCTCTGGTACCCACTAATCTGTTCTTTATTTATTAAATTTTATCATTTCAGAAATGTTATCAAATGGAATCATACAGTATATAAACCTTTGGGATTGCCTTTTTTTACTCAGCATAATTCTCTGGAGATTCACCCAGTTGTGTGTATCAGTAGGTCTTTCTTTTTTAGGGCTAAGTAATATTCCATGGTATGATTGTACTGTACATACAGTTTATGTAACCATTCATCTGCTGAATGACATATGGGCTGATTTCAGTTTTTTGCTATTACAAATAAAATTGCTATTAATCATTTATAGGTATTTGTGTAATTTTCATTTCTCTGGGATAATTGCCCAGGAGTATAACTGTTGGGTTGTATGGTAGTTGAATGTTTAGTTTAAGAAACTGCCAAACTGTTTCAGAGCTGTTGTACCATTTTGCATTCCTACTAGCAATATATGAGTGATTAGTTTCTCTAAACCCTTACCAGTAGGTGTTGAAACTTTTTTATTTTAGCCATTCTGATAGGTGTGATAGGTGATCGATATCTCACTGTGGTTTTAACTTGCATTTCTCTAATGGCTAATGATGTTTAACATCTTTTTATGTACTTATTTGACATTGGTATGTTTATACATATGATATATGCATATATATAACATACTTATTAACCCGTACAATTTATCGGTAGAAGTACCTATACTATTTGTCTTGGAGTTTTCCTATAGTTATCTCTTGGTGTGTTCTTCTGTTCTTTGTATTTTCTGTAAATTGGTGGGTGGATCCTGAGGCTTTTTTTTTTTTTGCGCTCTGTTGCCCGGGCTAGAGTGCCATGGCGTCAGCCTAGCTCACAGTAACCTCAAACTCCTGGGCTCAAGCAATCCTTCTGCCTCAGCCTCCTGAGTAGCTGGGACTACAGGGATGCACAACCATGCCCGGCT